CAAGTATATGAAAAGTGTTATTGTTCAGTTTGTATCTGTGACTTTTTATAGTCATAAAGGTATTTCAAATAATCACTTTTATTGCATATGAGTTTTGATGGATATCTCAGAAATGCTGCACACGTCGTCTATATTTTCAGTGATTTCATGTACTAACACTTTTACACTATGTTGTTAGTGTTGTTTGAGGTTTCTGCACATAGGTTTGTTCTTTATGAAGCGGGCTGTTGGACTAATAAGGGAGTTCTTTAGAGGAGGAGATTGATGCCAGACCAGTGACAGCAGCCTTGAGATTTCTTCCTTATCTCAAGGAAGGAAGAAATCTATAGGTTGGAAGTGTGGATCCCTTTTTAGGGGGGGAATGGAGAGATGCGGAGGGGGAAACCAGACAAAGGCCAGACCTGATGCAGAGTCCAGACCGGGACCAGGAACTGGCTGATACGACACGCCCCTTCTGCACATTATTACTTATATGATTTTGCCTGATGTTTTAGTTCAGTCAGATAGGGTGAGCCCATAGGGAAAGAGATCAGGCATAGTTAGGGTAGGAGCTTTTTAAATTTCTGTATCTGATTGTAAAGATAAATTAAATACAGATGTTTAACTTGGAAATCTTCGTCTTGTTTTTTGCATCAAATTCTGACACACGCCCAAAGGTTTTTTTAGACAATAGTTTGCATATGATATTCTTGTATATTTCTATGAACAAAATGAGTGAGTATAATAAGTCTGAAGTATTACTTATTGCAATCATGATTTAGTGTTCATGATTAAATAAATAATGTTTTCTTGATGAAATTAGCTTTAAAACGATTCATACATGCCATTTTGCACAGATTCTCTGTCAGGGGGCCACAAAAAATACAATACAATTTATTCTTGTACAATACAATACAATTTATTCTTGTATAGCCCTAGGTCCCACCGACTCCCACTGATGACTGCTGTCGTTGTGTCCTTGGGCAAGACACTTAACCCCACTTTGCCCAAAGCCCCCACTGAACGATCAAGGCTATGCTCACACTCATAGAGCAGCCGTCCTCCTGTGGACTGTCGTGGCAGTTTCTATCCATAGTAAGGAAAAAGCTGGAAAGGTATTTGTCTTAAATCAAAGATGTAAACACATTTATTTTACACATATATATACGGAGAGCCGACATACAGTCTTGCATCGTGAGCTCTGCCGGGGCACAGCTACTGTACCAATACATATACTCAGGAGGCGCACAGCAGGGCCCCAAAACCGTGACGTCACATGGGCTGGGATTATCATGCAAACATCACCTTTTGTTTTAGCGCAAGACACAGGAAGGCCTTTGTCTTAGGTGTGAAAGGAGCAGACAGCAGAGGCCTTTGCAAACTCAGCATGGCGTCAGACGGCCGTCTCTGCATTGATTAAAGGCCCAGTCGTCCGTGTATTTGCTGCGACTGGTTCTAATTTAATTACTCTAAAAACTGTCATTACAGGACTCACCACCGGATCAGTGAGGGGCTGGTGCTATGAGACTTGGGTGGCATCTCTGACTGCCACCCCCCTGACCCAGAAATGGATTAAAGGGTAGAAAATGGATGGATGGATGGATAGCCCTAGGTCACAACAGAAGTCATCTCAGAGGACTTAACAAAACCATTGAAATCACCAACACAGGTCAGAGAATCAACAGTTAAAACACATGAAGAATATAAAGCACACACAGAAGAAAATGTCCATACATGTTGTAGAATGCTAAAGTGTCCTGATCATCACCAATCCTTTCTGTTGGACACTAACTGTCCAACAAGACCCTCCTGCATCGACAAGGAAAAACTCTTAAAAAACCCAGTGGGAAAAAGTGAGAAACCTTGGAGGAGAACTAGGGAAACCCACAGGGAGGGAGACCCATATGAGAAAGGGATCCGCTCCTCCGGACGGACAGGCTAATGATCTAGGACCTAAGCTAGCCACAGAACGTGGACCAGTGGACGCTGAACGTGGACAGGTCCGGTGCAGGACTGAAGCACTCCCAGGCGGGTCGGGCGGGGCAGTCCGCAGGTGTAGATGGAAGAGGCCAGGCTCAGAGATCCCGTCATCGTACCATGAAACAGACAATGGGACAACGGGTGAATAGCAATGAACAAACTACAGTCAGAATCCTAAAAATGCTAAACAGATAAACAGATAAAAAGCTTTTCAGGAAAATGATTAACGACATATGTTGAAAACCTCCTAAGCTGGGTAATGTCATTGGAATGTCCAAGTGAACATGTGCATGACACCTCAAAGACATATTATGGGATGCATCCAGCTCCAGGGCTTCCAAGGAGAGAACTCGTACGTTTCGAAACATTGAAGTAATGTCCCGAATACATTCAAATGCATTTACGGAATACATGTAGGAATCAGGACTCATAATAGAAACATATAAAACATTAGTTTAATGAATGAGGGTTTAGTTTGGTAACATTTTGGCTTGACGAGTAAAATGTACTCGGCGTAGAGAAATCACACAGATGTGAAAGAGTGTTAACGTTTAACCAGTGTGTCAACAGTGTTGGTTTGAGCCATATACGATCCGCGAGTGAAGGGAAGAGTTCTCAAGACTCGCTGGACACTCCTCGTCATTACTTCTTCTTGCTGCAGATAAAATGTACCCCTTACCTGGTTGTGGTTTGTTCAGGTGACTTTTAAGCTTTAACAAAACTAATGAAAACACAATAAAGTAATTTACGAAACAAGACGATCATATAAAAAATACAACGTAGGGAAAGTCAAGTAATAATTTAATATCACTCACTGGTATCTTGTGGCCACACCTGCATGTGAAAGCTAGATTCCATTAGATTTCTGAAGCTAAGCAGGGCCTGGTAGTAATACTGTGATGGGAGACCTCTGGGAACACCAGGTGCCACAATGGCTGTAAAGTGTCACACTGTCGTTGTGTCCATAGGCAAGACAATTCACCCACATTGCCTACAATGAGTGCTTCTGTCAGTGTGCCCCAGGGCAGCTGTGGCTAAGGGGGATGTGGTAAATAATCATGTGGCCTACTGGGTTTTCTCCTCGCACAACCAGTGATAGTGATATGGAAATGATCAGACTCTGCTTAGAGAACTCATACGTTTCGAAACATTGAAGTAATGTCCCGAATACATTCAAATGCATTTACGGAATACATGTAGGAATCAGGACTCATAATAGAAACATATAAAACATTAGTTTAATGAATGAGGGTTTAGTTTGGTAACATTTTGGCTTGACGAGTAAAATGTACTCGGCGCAGAGAAATCACACAGATGTGAAAGAGTGTTAACGTTTAACCAGTGTGTCAACAGTGTTGGTTTGAGCCATATACGATCCGCGAGTGAAGGGAAGAGTTCTCAAGACTCGCTGGACACTCCTCGTCATTACTTCTTCTTGCTGCAGATAAAATGTACCCCTTACCTGGTTGTGGTTTGGGTTTCCTCCTCACACAACCAGTGATAGTGATATGGAAATGATCAGACTCTGCTTAGATATAAAAAAAGTAGCTCAGTTGGTAGAGCATTGGCCTTTGAGCCTGAAGGACGTGGGTTCAAGCCCACCATAAGACCTACTTCACGACTCCCACTGATGACTGCTGTCGTTGTGTCCTTAGGCAAGACACTTAACCCCACTTTGCCTGAAGCTCCCACTGAAAGATCTCAGCTCCTGTGGACTCACCACCTGCAGGAGGATCAGTGAGGGGGAAAATTGACTGGGGGGAGAAGGTAAATCTTAAGGCCATTGTGACATTTGAGACAATAGGACCCCTATCTGCATCTCAGCAGCGTCATGACTGCACATGTATGTCCTGTGGATGCGTGGTTTGTTATAATTGTGTCTTATGACATTTGGGCACAATAGCAGAGACAGCTGAGTCGACCCTTCTCTGGGGTCAATGGGGTTGTGGACATCTGGAAGGACAATTATAGCCTGTAGATTCAATTTATTTGCCATTTGTAGTAAAACCACATGTAGTGAGATCCTCAGGAAGGACAGACTCAGAGATACGGAGATTGACCAGGTCTAGTCTACAAGATTATTAAATGACAAGTATTTATTACATCCTGCCCTATAGCGCATCCATGAGAGTTCTGCGCTTAGTGTGTTCTTGGTCATTCTTACCATCCTCATTCTCGGAAGCCTGAATTGGACTTGATGTATTCTGATTATGCCATTAAACTCTTTCTTTAATACATAACTGTTAAGAAATGTTATGTGTATTATCATGTTAATAAATGTGTGTAGATTAGGGTAGTCAAGTTAACCAGCTAATGGAGAATTCTCCCAGCCCCGAGGCAAGAGTAAACAAGAGCATAAGTAAACAAGAGCAGAGAAAACAAGCATGAAGCGAGAAGACATCTGTGTTGTGACAAGAAGACACTTCTCCTGACAGATGAGAGGAGATTGTTTTCTCACCTAGAGTTTGATAGGTCATAATTGTCACCATATGGTCACATGTGTGTTTTAGAACTTTGGTATAAGAGGCGAGGCGTAACTTTCAGGGTCTGTCTTTTTGCTTTGCCTGTCATCCGCAGCAGACCCAGGCTTGTCTCTCTCTGCCTGTCTTGTATATGTATTCTGTTTTATATATTAAACTTTCTTTTATATCTATCTAAGTTCGTAATTTCCTTCCTTTCATCGGACGACTGTTTAAGGAAACCTGGTGAACCAGCATTAACAATAACGCAGAGTGCATTCCTTCTCCAACACTACATACTGGTTTGTGCGGGAAACCCCATCTTCTGCAAAGGCGAAGATACAACAATTGCTTCCACAACCACAGTAACCTCATGCACAATCACGTGTCTGGATGACTTTGATCCATCTGGTCAATATAAAACCATAATTCACTATTATTAAACCCCAGCCCAGAACCATCACCTGAAAATCATCCAACGAATTCCTTCCTTAACTCTTAAAACATCATTTATTATAAAATGTAGCACAATTGTTAGTTTATTTTTCTTTAAACATTGCAATGAGTAGGCAGGTACATTTGTTAGGTAGAGCCTGGGTTCCCTGAACACCACAATATTACAAAGACAAGCGCGAGGAGACCAGTGCCGAGCAGATCCCCCAAAGCGGTGAGGTATGGGATGGAGTAACTGTCTGGGTCTTTCTGCTTTCTCCATAAACAGTGAACCATGTACTCAGCTATGACCAGCAGGGCGACAACCTGGTGGAGAATGAATAGAATGAGAATTTATTTATCTGCCTTTCTCTTTTTGTTTAATATATGAGACAAAGTACCTGAATAACTGAAGCAGAAATGAAGAGAAACGTAAACAGGGGACTCGGTAACGTGTACGCCCCTTTCAGTACGTGGATAGAGAACAGAAAGATGAGCTGACCAGGAATGACCAGCGACAGCAGAACCTGAGCAGAGCGGTGATTTGGGCCTGGACAAATACAAAATAGCAGTTATATATATATATATATATATATATATATAACATACATATTGTTAACGCTGGTTCAGCCACGGTTTCTCCTTCGATGATAAATGGACACTACAAATTCTGCTTAGATATATAAAAAAGGTTTAATATATAAAAGACAGAATACAGGATACAGGATACAGACAAATGGCAGACTGGTGCTCCAGTCTGGGTCCTCTCCCTGGCAAGCCAAAAGCAAAAGACCCTGCTTCAGGAACAGGCTATCGATGATAAGCACACAGTCACATGACATGATAATTGAAGACATATGTCCCAACATCCTTAGGTGAAGACAATACCTCTTTTCTGTTCAGGACACACAAATAGCCCCTGTGTGAATAAGCCTGAGGCTACTCTAAACAGATGTTCTCTGGTTCTTGCCTTAATTTAACTTCCTGTGCTTAATGGCTGGGGGATGGTTCCATACATTCTTCACTCTGCTTACTACTAGTTTTTAGATCCTAGACTAAACTAACGTTACATTTATTAATATGATAATAACACAATAACATACTCCATTGACATAATTATATATATATATATATAGGTAAAACAAGGCAAGCACAATTCTTACACAAGTCAACTCAAACTGCTGGAGAAAACAAGATAGAGACAGTCACACAAGGCATTATAATCATAGAAAATAGGAAATCCCATGGTTGTATGCACAGCTAAAAATAATTGTTTTCAACTTGGATTTCAACAGTGTCAGAGAAGAAGCCTGTCTCACATTTTCAAGAGGACTGTTCCAGATTTTTTGCTGTGTGAATCTGAATTGCAGACTCCCCCTGTTTAGTTTTGACTTTGGGCACTAGTAGGCGACCAGTCCCTGTGCTCCTCAGAGTCCCAGCAAGAGGCCAGTCCCTGTGCTCCTCAGAGTCCCAGCAGGAGGCCAGTCCCTGTGCTCCTCAGAGTCCCAGCAGGAGGCCAGTCCCTGTGCTCCTCAGAGTCCCAGCAGGAGGCCAGTCCCTGTGCTCCTCAGAGTCCCAGCAGGAGGCCAGTCCCTGTGCTCCTCAGTGTCCGAGTTGGTTCATATGGCGCTAATATGTCACAGATGTACTTTGGTGCGAGTTGTGTGTCTAGTTTTTATTTACCTGATCCAAAGAAAGCCAGACAAGGACTATAGCAGCCAGTTCGGTCGTCCGGTACCTCTCCTGATGGGTACTTCTTATGCAGACCAGTGGAGATGCGACTGGACTGAATTGAGACCAGGTTACCCCCAATACCTGAGAAAGAATTTAAATGGGTTTCTGAGAGGATGATTATGTTTATATGCTTCTTTGGATTTGCGGACACATGTTGCACTTATATAATATATGGATATAATAAAGCTGAGGTATAACATTCAAACCACAACAATAGAAGTATGTCATAAATATAAATATAATATAAAAACTAGCATGTATTTTTGGCCTCTTTCACATCTTTAGAATAGCTTTTCAGACAGAAAAAAAGGCAAGGACCACCCCTTCTCAGCCAATCAGCTCTGACTTCTAGTATCTTTCCTACAATTGTGCAAAACATTATTGTAGTAGTAGTTTTGATCGTAGTTTCTGATTTATTCATAACATCTGACTTTCAGTTGGAACTCCATCCATCCATCCATTTTCTACCCTTTAATCCATTTCTGGGTCAGGGGGGTGGCAGTCAGAGATGCCACCCAAGTCTCATAGCACCAGCCCCTCACTGACCCTCTGCAGGTGGTGAGTCCACAGGAGGACGGCTGCTCTTTGAGTGTGAGCATAGCCTTGAGCAAAGTGGGGTTAAGTGTCTTGCCCAAGGACACAACGATAGCAGTCATCAGTGGGAGTCAGAGAAGGTGTGGAGGTGGGAATTGAACCCACGACCTTCAGGCCTGAAGGCCAGTGCTCTACCAACTGAGCTACTGTCGCCCCTTTTGGAACTCCATAAAATGGAAAATGTATGTCCACACACATAAAAGTAGAATCCTCTTTTCATATCATTGACTCAAGTCCATGGTGCTGTGGCTCGGACCTCTCTCCCCCACATCCCGCCTTTTTTATTGTTGGATCTTTCTACCCATCCCCCATCACATGCACAGATCTGTAACAAAAGGGCTCTTTTCTGAGGGAGTGCCAAGCTAGCATTGGATATGTATCATTGAGCATTTTGTAGGATCTGACCTGCATATTACTGCTGAAACATGTTGTATATTTGTATTTTGTTCCGATCTATATCTTCAGAATGAATCATAAATATAAGTGATTACGTCTCTGTTCTTGTTCCACATTGATACAGATCATGCACAAAGCTGTGCCTTACTTTGTTCGATCTGGAAAAACTGTGAAATAAACAAAGGCCTCAGATCGCTGCTGCTGTCTTTATTTCTCACTTCTGCTGCAGTATCTAACATGTGATGTAGTTGGATGTGCAGTGGGAGTGAAGCTCATGTTGCAATGACACATCTAGATTATGTTGCAGATGAAATGTACTAGTAATTCAGTTTCTTGACATGACATGACAACTAGAAATGTAAAATTGTTCAATTGTTTTTATGCAGACACACTGGCACCTTTTTTGGAGGATTTATACAGGTCTGATGCCACCATGAGGTGATTGATAGGACAGTCTGGTCAGTCTCTTGACTAACGTCTATTGCCACAGCTTAAATGCCCATTTTAAACAATTACACATATTTCATGTCTTTCAGCCATGTTTGCCTTGTCTAAAAGATATGTTTGCCTTGGATCATTATAATAATTGCCATAACAATGTATTCATGTACTTATGGACGAGTAGAATAGGCTGTGATGTCACTCCCTGCTATGAAATTCACTTGTGGCCAGTTTTCTTCCATTGGTTTTGCAGACCTTTGTCTCTGTCTTACTCTTTTAAACCTGTTTTATTTTCATTAATTATCTCAGGTTATGAAGACAATCTTGATACAGAGGATAGCTCTGCAACTCGTTGTTCCCCGTGGTCAATGTTGAACACAATACAACATTTCAGCTCAGAGCAGAAGAAGCATCACACAGGAAGTCAAAGGCAACAACATACATAAAACAAAACAATAGAAATAATGTAAACTCACCATTAATGACTGGAGCATATACAATTATCCCTGCCATATTTGGATCAGCAACCGTTTTGTCCAGAATAAGACCGCCAATACTGAAAGATAACCACAAGCAAAAACTTTTTTTTATCTCTGGTAGAAAACAAAGAAAATGATCATCAAAAAAGTAATTAGATTAAAGCATATTTATGACCGGCTATGTCAAACTAAAGCTAAGAAACACAATATTTATTCTATACATACAGTATTTACACTAGTCTCTGGAGAGCACAACAGGTCCAACCATATTGCACCAGTCGTTGCAAGGCGCTCCCCAAAGGGTTTAGAAATTCAGATTCAGATTCAGTTTATTGCCATTTGCAGTAAAAACACCACATTGGAATACATTAGCAAAAAGTCTCCAGTGTGCACAGACAAATACAGACATAAAACAGCATTAAAATACAGAAATAAAACAAATAAAACAGTAAACAAATGTCACTGTGAAATTACATAAGTATGCTATAAATATTCCAAAATGTATGATTCTGTGCACACAACTATTGTAAATGCAAACAAAAGCTTATAATACTGTGACCCTATCTAAGGCTAGCTCTCAAAATGTAATAGACATTTTTCTCCCCAGACGGTAAAGGAGTAGCTCACTGTCATTTTGGTTCCACAGAAAGTAGCTCTCTCGGGGCTGGAAACCCATATTTCATTAGTAGATATACTGGATGGTGCTATTGAGCAAGTGGTGAAAAGGTGGTACTGCACCCTAAAACTCCCCAGAAAGGGGACGGCGCTATTGAGCAAGTGGTGAAAAGTGTTACTGTTTTTTTTTCAAAGAAGTGTCATTTTTGAATGTGTAATGAGTTAGCCTCTGTCTGGTGTTTCACAGTAGTCTAAAGTGATTTATTGATCAGGGTTTATCGTAGCACATGTGTGGTTCACACCGAGCTTATTCTTAAACAAACAGTGGTGCCTTAGTTAGTAAAGACACGTCAATAAACTAATTAATCTACAGGGAGGACCTGTCAACGACACTTAGGTGTGTGTGTGTGTGTGTGTGTGTGTGTGATAGCCTTATCATGATGAAGGGTTTGGAGGGAGGGTTTTATAACAACAAATCAGAATGGGTGGTGGGAGGTCTATGAAGAATCACTAGAGTGAAGCAGATAGATACATATATGTACACAGTTTGAAACAGAGTAGGTAGATGTGAAACTAGGGTCCTTGGTACAGGTTTTCTTTTTACTGGAGATCAAATGATTTAAAGGCGTACATCTCTCAGATATACAATTGATACTTGTTACCATAAATAGTCATCTTAAAGACTGATTAAACACCCATATTACATACCTTAAACATTATGTACAACATTTTACCAAAACACAAACCAGTAATTAAAATCCAGATTTTCTTATTATGTAACACTCTCATATTTATTGAGTATAGTAGTTTTGTTGTTTCTTAAAAACCATGATTTTTATTTTGACTCTTTAATGTCTTTGTTAAGTTGATTCCTTCCACTGAGACCATTCTTCCCATGAATTTAGTTCTGAATATAGTTTTTATTAAAGATGTCAGTTACTTACAGATTGTATCGACTTTGTCTTTTTTTCCAAAGTTCTCGTAGATGTTTTCTGCTAATGTTTTACAATTTACCTTATACAATGTAGGATAAATAGTATAATCCACTATAACATACAATTTTAACACCAAGCACTCAAAAACAGGATTTGATGAATCTCGATATATTTTCCTTTTGCTCTTTTTATGTAAAATAACTATAGGCAGTGTATGTGTTTTAAACGTTGTCTCCAAATGTTGACAACATAGGTGAGGTCGGTATAATCATTGTATTATCTAAGGTTAGTAATGCTGAGTGGTTTGGAAAGTGTAAAACACCAAGTGATTAGGCTAATTTTCCTTATGTACAGTGTCTGTGAGATTTACAACGCAGATTCTCAACGATGATGACTCCTAAAAATGTTGTTTCTTTTTACCCTTTTGAATTTCCCCCGTCTAGTCTTATCGATACACTATTTAAGATTTTTTTCTTTATAGCATTGAATAGTATGTATTCGTTTTTTCTTTGTTTAGAACAAAGTCATTTGAACCAACCAGATTTTTATCATGACAAGTTCTTTGTTTATTACTTTTTGATAACTCTCCAACATTTTTTCCACAACAAAATAATGCTGTGGCACCAGCAAATAAGATTATTTGTAATATAGGTGTCATGTTTACAAGTTTAAAGACATGATTCAATCATTTATAAGTTTAAAAAATGCAACACGTTCTTAAATGCTATGTAATAAGTTACATTTAAAAACAAAGATTCCCTTTTTCCATGGGAAATGAAGACAGGGTGAAATCCGAGACACTCTGATAAAAGTCCTTTAACAGAGAAGGGACCAGCGTGTTTGGGCCCCGCAGCGCCTTCTTCAGCCCAGTGTGATAATAAGCTATAGTTGTTTGTTGTGCTAAAATATAAGGGGAAACAAAGTAAGACATCAGTTTCCTGGTCGAGCAGAGTAAGCGCTCATGTTTGGTTTGTTTTTGTAACAATCTTTGTTTGTGTTGACCCTTGGCAAACTTTCGTCTTTGTAAGTATTATTTAATCTCACAAGCACATTGTTAGGGCCACAAAAGTGTTTTATTCTACTGCAAAGTGTTAAGTCTGGGGCTATATCTGATTAGCTAGCGCTGTACGCAATTCCGTGTGCACAACCGTTGATAGTTTTTCTAGTGTTGCAGTTACGGTGATTTTTTATATTTTGTATTTATGGATGCAATGAACCATACGCAAGAGATTCTCTATGAAACAAGAAAAGTAAACCTTGTCTACAGAGTTTCTTTCCCGTTTGCTCCAGCTTCACATGGTCACGTATCGTGAGGACAGCACAATAGTTGATACTTTTGGAAAGTCATTCATACAAACAATATAGGTATTGAGTAATTTATTATTTTTTACAATTTATCTGCACAAACTGTTTAAGATTTTCTAGATAACTAGAGATCCATGTATGAGCAAGCCTTTTGCAGGTCTAGTAAGATACTTACAACACATGTATTTGCATATTTTCTCTGTCAGTTCCATTATTCCCACAGCAGTTGAGTGTTTTTTCCTAAAGCCATACTCATTTTGAATTAACACATTTACTTTTGTAAAAAGCTATCCACTCACATTGCAAATACTTTTTTCAAGATTTTAGAAAACTGTGGTAACAAAGACACGGGTCTAGAATTTGAGAAGTTGTGTTTGTTTCTGTAAAGAGGTATAATTTGGTTGTTTCCATTTTTTTTTTTTCAGGAAAAGGTTCCTGTTTTTAGTGACAAGTTGCAAAGGTATGTAAAAAGGTTCAATTACAGATGCATCATGTCTGAGCCAGAGTCGGTTGTTTACAAATGTATTCACAATTTTTCATACTTTGTCTTTTTTTTTTTTACATATTGGAAAGAAAAATACTGTTCACAGGATCTACCTTTGTATTTCACTGTAAGATGTAGGCTTTGGAAATTTTCTTTTCTTTCGAGTCTCCTACACGAGTAAAGTATCTACAAAATTCATTTGATATATTCATTTTATTTGATATTTCTGCCTTTGACAAAATAATTTGTGTACTCATGTGTGATTTTTGTTGTTCCTCATGACATTATTAAAAATTCTCCAAGTAGCTCGTTCTCATTTAGTGTATCACTGTAAAACTGTTTCTTCTGGTTATCCAGATTTCTAAAACAATGTGTTTACCGTTTTACTGTATGAATATAATATAATCAGAATAGTAAGACAGCATCTGGTGTTAGACAACACCATGATAAACAGAATTTGTATTATACAAAAATGAAAATAGAAGACAAAAGGTACAACAAGCACCCACATACGAAAAATATATAAAAAAAATAACTGATACAATAAAATAACACCTCCACAGATATGAAGTGACACTTTACCACAGTGACACAGATATGAACACTATATTGAATAACATATCATGGAGATATAGGATCACAGTCATTTATAAATAGTCCTCTGCGTCATTTGTTACATTTAGATTTTCTACAATGTCTTTGTATGATCCCACATTTGTTTCAAATATTGCTAACTTTCCTTTTCTAAAACATGTAACTCTTTCTAGGGGAAATGCTATCAGCATTTTTATTTTACCCTAAGCATCAGCTTGAACTTTTTTTTTCCACTAAATTGCAATTGTTCTTGTTGCTTGTAAAAGACACATAGCTATCAGTACTTTTTTTCATTCTTTGTAAACGCATGTTTCCTAAATAAAAAAGTGTATATCCTTAGATATAGTGGTCTCTACTACTCCTTTAACCTCAGGACACCCCACACACAGTGGAGCAATGACCCTTTAACACCTAGTACATACATCAGGTACATTTACTCTTTTAACACATAGTACATACATCAGGTACATTTACTCTTTTTAGTACATACATCAGTACATTTACTCTTTTAACACCTAGTACATGTACTTACTCTTTTAACACCTAGTACATCAGTACATTTTACTCTTTTAACACCTAGTACATACATCAGGTACATTTACTCTTTTAACACCTAGTACATACATCAGTACATTTACTCTTTTAACACTAGTACATACATCAGGTACATTTACTCTTTTAACACCTAGTACATACATCAGGTACATTTACTCTTTTAACACCTAGTACATACATCAGGTACATTTACTCTTTTAACACCTAGTACATACATCAGGTACATTTACTCTTTTAACACCTAGTACATACATCAGGTACATTTACTCTTTTAACACCTAGTACATACATCAGGTACATTTACTCTTTTTAACACTTAGTACATACATCAGTACACCTAGTACATACATCAGTACATTTACTCTTTTAACACCTAGTACATACATCAGTACATTTACTCTTTTAACACCTAGTACATACATCAGTACATTTACTCTTTTAACATACACAGTTCAGTACATTTACTCTTTTACATCAGTTACATCAGTTCAGTTACATTTAACTTTAGGTAATACATCAGGTACATTTTACTCACTTAACAACCTT